ATAATGTTTTTAATTCAATTTTTTAATTATAATTTAATTTTGATTTCATAATGAAACAATTTATTTTTGATTTAGTAATATAATTTTTATCTGTTATAACTCAATAATTATCTTAATTATATTTTAGATTTTTTGTATTTAGAATAAAAAGTTTATCTTATACTTGATTATATTTATCTGTAGTTAGTTACACAAATTTAAATATAAAACTTTAATAAGTTGTACTAATACACAGTTTATTTGTAATAATAAAATTTAAGTAATATACATCAATAAATAATATTTCATATATAAAAAATAATTTTTAAATTTTTTTACCATATAATTTATAATACAGTATAGATATGGAATCTTACAATTTTCATACCAATTCGTAATAAAAAATATTTTAATTATATTAAATAAATATTGTTTTATTTAAATAGAAAAAATCGATACATATTCAAAAAAAACATGGGATCCTACCATCTTCATCCTAATTCGAAATAAAAAAAATATATTTTTAATTATTAAATAAATATTGTTTTATTTAAATAGAAAAAATAGACATTTTTCAAAGAAGATGTGTAAACATAAGAGGAAGACGTTGACAGATCGGACGGCTATAAAGGCTACCAAATCAAAGAGTTGTAAATGGTTTGTCACAAGTCACGGTCACAGAGAACCTAATTCCCGTAAACGGGAACTTCGTTGCCAGTTGCCACGTAGTTCTCCACCACGAGATTCAAGCATTTTTGTAGATATCAAATCACATGTCGCCACTTTGCCACCGCCACTCCCTATCTTACATGTGCCTACCCACACCTAATATTTTCTCTTTCTACACGTATTTCAATTAGAAATTAACGAAAATACCAAATCTTTGTAAGTAAGGGTTTTTTACTCAAATACTTACCCAATAAGTGTTTATTGATATGAGTTAACACTATAATTTATTTTGATGCGTAAGATTTTAGTACATCAAAACACATCGAATGCAACAATTTACCGAGTAAGCGCTTATCTGGGTAAGAGTCGTCATCTTTACTTACCGGGTAATATTTTTCATCCTCCTCATTACTCTTACTTAGTAAGATTCTTGCCCTTCTCATATTCATCCGATGAAAAAATTTATCCGGCAAGCACTTACCAAATAAGGGTTTAGTAAACGTCCCCTAAATTCATTTTTTTAACTATTAATAAATTAAAATTTTATTAATAAATTCATTTTTTTAACTATTAATAACTTTGGTGACGTTTGTTTTTTAAGATGTGCTGAAGTCTGATTCACTTCTGATTTAAAAGAGGTGGTTCTGAAGTCTGAAATCTGAATAGGTAAGATTGTTTGTTTTGCCGTCTGGAATCTAAAATTTGAATCGGTCAAACTAGCGCAAAAATATAAAAGATATTTTTTTTTTACAAAAGCATAAAATATGAATAGTTTCTGCTAACAAATCTCTTTCAACCTCCAAAATATGAACCATGTATTCCTTAAGAGGTTTTAAGGAATACATTTTAGCACTTAAAATTTCATAGAACATTTAAAGCTTTTAAGCTCTTATTTTAAAAATAAAATAAACGCTTTTAATACCCAAATGTCTGAACGAATCAAATTTCAAATGTGTAAAGAGGTAAATTTGTGTAATTTTTTTTTTTGTAAATTTGAATATAGATTTAAGATAAATGTGTAAGACATTTGCATAAACTTTGACTGAAATTAGGCATGTTCATCGGTTGACATCCATTGGATGTGAGGGGAACCGAACCAATCCAATCATCCATTAAATGCTATATTTTGTCAACCACTCCAATTTGGTTAACATTAGATAACCGATCTGATCCAATTCAATTGATGATTGAATCGATTCTGTTCCATTCATTGAATAATTTTATTGGATACCCAATGTATTATCTGATAAGATTGGATCCATCAAGTGTGTTAATTCAATACAATTCTCTAACAATGATACAAATTAATTAATCACTGTTAATATATGTTAGAACCAACACATGATAAATTAAAAATTCAAAGCATCGCATAAAAACAAATTCCGATTTAAGCAATTTGAAAATATATTAATTGGATGATAATTGAATAATAGTTGGATGTACAACTGGATGGTCATCAGATGATTAATTGGATGTTGATCGGTTCGGTTTTGGTTGGTTATAGACCGTCATCCGATAACTGACCGATCCAAATTGGATGTTGAATTATTCAATCCGATCCGATTCGATCCAATTACAATTGGATATTCATTTATGGTCGATCGGTTCTAATTAAATCAGTCGTTTCAATTGTATCGATTGATTTTCTACACACCCCTAACTAAAATAATAATTTTGTTAAAAAATAACTAGAAAAATAAAGTTTGGTTAGAAAAATCAAGGTCAAAATTCCAATTTCAAATTACAAAGGTTTACATTCAACTTTATTAAATAACCAAAAATGTCAATTTAATTGACATTATTTATATAAAATTCTTACAATTAATATTAAATTATTATCAACAAAATAAAAATAATAATTTAAAATTGACATCTTATATTAAATAATGTTGCATTATTTTATAAACCACCACTTGTTACGTTCGTTTATGGTATTTACATAAAACACCTCCAAGTTTTCAAGGGTTGATATCATGCCCCCAAAGTTCTCATTAATGCATTTTTAGTCTCGATTGATTGATTTCTTGTCGATAAAACGTAGTGCCAAGTTAAATTGAACCTGCAAATCATAACTTTAACAACCCTTTTTTGAGAAGTTGCGTTTTCGATCTTGTTCTCAACTCCGGATCTAGACCCCGCCTGGGGAGTGCGGTCGCAAAACCGAAACTCAAAGAAATTGACGGGGGCTTGCCGCTTGATTTCATAACAGAGCCATTATTTCCGCAGTCCTTCGTGAGTGCGACACACACCTTTTTGTTGCATTTAGGACACTAATCCCGACTTCTTCCGTTGCTATAATATAATAAGAGATAGGTGCCTACCTTAAAGTCACCTATCGACACTCAAAGTTTGTTCATCAGTTCACAAAATTTACACATTTCAACAATACGTATTTTTATTTTACATTTTCAATGTTGTAATTTAATCGAAGAGATATTCAAATGTTAAAACGTAAAATATGAAGATTGAACTTAAACAAAACTCCTGTTGTGTTAAACATACTCATTATATATATATATATTTTTTCACCTTTACTTTTTTTTATTAACCTAGATATTCAACCCGCTATGCGACTAGAATAATCTCAATATGACCATCTGCTTTGTGGGTAGTCTGAAATCACCGCATCTGTGGGCACAAAGGGATTTTTATTTCTCATTGAATTTGAACATGATACCTCCAGACACTTTTGACATTTTAAGCCCAAGCTCAAACCAATCAAGCGCAACCCTTGTGGTTATCAAACTATACTTTTTTACTTTTTAAATGTATTGAGTTGACGATATACTAGGGTGAAAAGCCGACATCCAGATGTCAAGTCTCCCCGTTGATGTATTTGATCTTTAAAATATAAAAACTTATAGTTTAAAAGTTCTTCGTGCCATAAAAGCATATTGGATTTTGGAACGATCCAACATTTATTTACAAAATTATGTTAAACGAACTCCTTTTCAGTTTTTCGATCAAATAGTCTATATGAGCATGAAACTGATGAGGTTTATATAACAATAAGGCGAGACTCATATAAATAACCATTCCTTAAAGGGTAGCACTCATGTAGTCATATAAGTATGATTTTTTTTGAAGTATATAATATTTATATACGACAGATAGAACAAATAAACTCATACACTTTCCTCACCATTAGTGATGTTTGGACTCTTGACCTGCTAGGAAGCCAAAGACTCACATACCGCTAGACCAAAGATCTTTTGGTCACATAACTATGATGTTAATTGTAAAGCTACGGTAATCTAACATTCAAACTCAAAACATGACAAATTTTAGCAACGGTTATTAGATTGATAAACAATAAAGTTCTGTATGTATGCTAAAAACATTTTTAGTTTTTATAAAAACTTAAAAAAAATATGAACGAATACTTATAGCTAAAGTATTTATAGTTTTTTATAAATGCTTAGCAGTTAAAAAACAGTTCGTATATGTGAACAGGTGATCATATGCATCTCCTTCTCCAACCGGCCTCTAAAAAATTAAAATGAAGCTTATGTTTGCTCTAATCATAACTAAACATGTTCCCCCTACAAGCTTACCGAATAAGTCATTTTTTATATTATGAAACTACTACTAAATAGTCATATATAGGTGACTAAATAAGTTGTGAGTCTCATTAAGTTTATTAAGATGCTAACAAACTGACCTTAAGCTTCATTAAGCTCATTAAGTTGCCAACAATATGCTCAAAGGTTAATTGGTTGGTTTTCCATTAAGTCTTGTATAGATAAAATTTTATGTATGAATTGAATTTTTTTTTGTTTAGAAGGTTTTTCATAGATGGAAAAAATGTGCTTTAATTGGAACTTGGAAGAGACAAGTTCGATTTTTTTTTTGACTTTTTGCATAAAACTCCCTTAGAAGCTTAATAAATAAGTCAGAAGTTGTTTGTTTATCTCTTAATAGTTTCATTAATAAGCAACATCTGAATTATTAAAAAGTGAATTTGTTTGGCAAAAAAAAGTCTGTCTCTAAAACCCTCTGAATGATTTTGTATCTTGGGTCTCCCTTAACCATTCAACACCGTAATTTCATTCCGAATAATTAGCAAATAATTATATTTCGTTTTGCACTATATTACAAGAGACTTTTAATCATTTTGTCCATTAAATCATTACGCTACTATCAAACATTCATATATAATTGACTGAATAAAGTGTAAAATTGGTATTTTTTTTTACTATTAAAATTTAATTTAATTTTCAAAAAGATCTGGTGACTAATCTTAAAATTGTAAATAGAAAACCACAAAAAGTTAACAAAACTTTGGATTTATATGTAAATATGAAAATAGCAAGAGTTTGTTTAGTTGTCGACGAATAACGCTATAAAATTGTAGATACTCTCTCAATCAACCACAGTCCCACACGATTATCTCCGGTATCTTCGTTATCTCGAATCCCAATGGCCATGGAGGATGGAAGGTTAGCTCTGATATCAAAACGGAAAGTATATTCTCGGTGCGTCTCCCACGCTTACGACGAACTTCAGAGTTTCCGTTCATGGCTCCGGTGGATGTGCGTTGATCAATCTAATGGTTGGACTGCTTCACTCTCATGGTTCGTCTTCGTCATCTTCACCATCATCATCCCTAGCTTTTCTCATTTCTTCCTCGCCTGCAGCAATTGCGATAACCAACACGCTAGGCCTTTTGATAGCGTTGTTCAGTTGTCTTTGAGTGGTATCGCTACGCTTTCGTTTGTTTCGTTATCGCAATTCATGAGGATCTATGGTCTTCGGAGGTTTTTGTTTTTTGATAAGCTTTGTGACGAAAGTGAGATCGTAAGGAAGGGGTATACTGAACAACTCAATGTATGTACTCTGTTTCTCCTTGATTTCATGTTGTTTATTGTTTCTGGTAATGACTGATTTGATTTTCGATGCCTGATTGGGCCATGGTAATTGCTGAATGACATGTTCTTCACACATACATAGAAATCGAACCTCTCCTTTTTACGGATTTGACTGAAAGGATTTGTCACCTGATTGTTGTCGAGAAACTGTTTGCCATTTTAGGAGCATTCTGCTGTATAATCATACTAGTCTATTAGTGGATCAGTTAGATCTTAATCTTCTACTGTTGGGAGCTTCAGGTATAAGATGAATTTTGCTGCAAGTTAAACATCATTATCATCATCACAACTAATTTCATTACTGAAATGCTGGTTTCTTGTAGAGTTTATATCGCTCTTTAGAAACTGTAAATGATGCCGATGAATATCCGACTGTTAGATGAACAGGAATCTATCTTCCATATGATTTTTAAAAAAGGATAACAAGAAGAGATGAAATTAGTTGTGATGATGATGATGACGAACAGATTTAACTTTCAGCCATATCCAATTTATACCAGGAGCTCTCAAAAGTAGGAGACTAAGATATCACTGATCCAATAGACTGGTATGATTATACTGCAGAATCCGACTGTTAGACGAACATAAATCTATCTTTCATCAGAAGAAGAAGCCAACCTCATTTGGTGATGAATCCGACTGGTAGTATACCTTGTCCATTAATTGGTTTTAGTAGAGACAACTCCAAAATCGAATCGGTTCGTTTGGTACTTTCTATAGGATGTGTTTTTAGTGGCCTAGCCGGTTTTGGGGATTCATATTGATTGTAATGAGATCATTTTTGTATATACTTCAACATTTTATCTAGTGCTACTGTAGCTGCTGACTTTATTTTCATGATGTTCATATAAAGTTGACTATTGATCTTGTTTATCGGAGGTTGGTTTGCCGTTTGCGTTTGATGTGTCTAGATTCTTCCATCGAAGAGTTAACTTTGTTTCTTTTAGGACCAAATCGCACCTTTGTAGTTTTTGTTGGTAACATAGAAAACTTCTGTTATTAGCAAGAGAGTTAAATTAACCTTATTTAGAGGCTGTTTGGTTGGTTTTCTATTAAGGCACGTATGAATAAAGTTGTCTGTGTGGGTTAATCTGTATGTATAGCAGTATAGGTTGTGAATGTCTTTGTTCGGGAGGGGTTTTTCATAGATGGAAGGAGCATGTTTTCATAGATGAACAAGTTCGGAAATAACTTGGCTTTTTGCATAACGCTTCTCCTTAGAATCTTATTGAATAAGCCACTTTCTATATCATTAAGCCACTATCAAACAATCATGTATAAGCTGACCGAATAAGCTGTGAGTCCCATTAAGCTCGTTAAGCTGCTAACAAAATTGATTCCATTTTCTCTAGTGTTATCCGTAAAATGGCCCAAAAACGAGAACATTTTAAGTTGTCTGCAGTTATGAAATTAAACAGATATCTGATTACTATCCTTACCCCATCTCCGGATTGGATATACTGGATTTGGTTGGTTTGGTTTTTTGACCAAATCTTTTCTATGTAAATGCAGAGATCACTTACAATCCTCTCCATCTTTGTTATCCCTTGTTTTGCTGCTGAGAGTGCATACAAGATCTGGTGGTACAGTTCAGGTGCCACAGACATTCCTTTTTTGGGCAATGTTTTAGTGAGTGACACCCTAGCATGCATCTTGGAACTTTGCTCATGGCTCTACAGAACGATCGTGTTTTTCTTGGTCTGTGTCCTCTTCCGCCTCATCTGCTACCTTCAAATCCTCCGTTTGCAAGATTTTGCTCAGGTTTTCCAGGTTGACTCTGATGTTGACTCGGTATTGAGGGAACATCTCAGGATCAGAAGGCACTTGAAAATCATTAGTCATCGTTATCGTGCTTTTATATTGTTGGCACTCATCATTGTTACAGTTAGTCAGCTTGCATCACTCCTAGATACTACCCGCCGCACTTCAGACATCAGCATTTTCAAATCTGGTGAACTTGCAGTAAGTGTGCACTCCAAATGAACTATATTTAACTTGAGATCTGGGTTTCAGAGGGCGGGATGTACAAAAACCTGTCCTGCCCCAAAGAGTAGAGCGGTTGTTTTGTGAAGACTATAAGCTTGCTGGGCTATGGTTGATTAACCAAACCAAACGAGCTATATCCCACTCGAAAGAATGGTGGGATGTTAACAGACTTGTCCTGCCCAAAGGGTAAAGCGGCTCCTTTCGTGAAGACAGGCTCTATGGTTGATTAACCAAACCAAACGAACTATATCCCATAGGGTCTGAGGGGGTGGATGTACACGAACCTGTCCTCTGTCCCAAAGGGTAGAGCGGTTGGTTCGTGAACGCCCTATGCTTGATGGGATATGGTTGATTTTCCATTGAGTCATGTATGGATAAATCTGCCTGTGTAGATTAATCTGTTTGTATAGATTGAGTAGGTTTTTGTTTTAGAGGGTTTTTTCATAGATGGAAGAAGTGTGTTTTTAATTGGGAGAGACAGGTTTGGAAAAAGCATGGCTTTCTGCAAAAGGCTCCTCCTAAGAATCTTTCTGAATAAGCCATTTACCATATCATTAAGCCACTACCAAACATACATGTATAGCTGACCAAATCATTAAGCTGCTAACAAACAGGCATTGTTTCTGAAAATTTATGATTTTTGTTGATGTCTTTGTTTGTTGTATTGTAGCTTGTTTCTTTAAGCCTGCTTGCTGGGCTTATGATACTGCTTCGGAGTGCTACTAGGATCACCCACAAGGCACAAGGTGTGACGTGCCTGGCCGCCAAGTGGCACGTGTGTGCAACGATTGATGTCTTTGAGTCACCTGAAGCTGATACCGAAACTCCAACTATCGGTGTTTTCAGCAGCCAGTCTTTCCCTTGTGAAGCATCATCTTCCGACTATGATGATGTTGGTAGCGAAGAAGACGAGTTGGACAACACGAAACTCATACCAGCTTATGCTTACAGCACAATCTCTTTCCAGAAAAGGCAAGCCTTAGGTAAGTTGCTCAAACTTTATCAAACATGACCAGAATAACAAATGTTGGAGTTCCACACTGGTTTAGGGGCTGTTTGGTTGGTTTTCCATTAAATTTTATTTGGATAATGCTGTCTGTGTGGATTAATATGTCAGTAAGATTGGGAAGGTTTTTAATAAACGGAAGGAGTGTGTTTTTTAATTGGGAGGGCAAGGCTTAATAAACTTGGCTTTCTGCATAAAGCTCACCCTAGAAGCTTACTGAATAAGCCACTTTATATATCATTAAGCCACTAACAAACAGTCATGTATAATTGACCGAATAAATTGGGAGTCCCATTAAGCTGCTAACAAAAAAATTCTTAGACATAGATCATCAAAACTTATATATACGTAGAATGCTCCCCTCCCTTTGAATAGGTGTGTTTGGAACCCGACACATTGTTGCCTTATGTTTCATGCAACATTAAGACTGGAACATAACAGCACTGTGTCCCATGATTTTAATCATGGAGATGAGATATAATTGGTAAATTACTAAACTACCTACATTTCAAATAAAATCCTAAAATCTAGCATAATTCTTTCATCTGCCCTCCTCACTCTCGTCCATTCGATCCTGTCTACTTACCGGACGCACCCTAGGGTTCTTTTAGAGTGAGACTCAAAAGGGTCCCATTTATCCTAACAAGGTACCAAAGCCGGGGTCTACCACATGTGGGAACTCGACTCCCTCTTTTGCCTACATTCTAGGAGCATCGTCTAGCCCCCATTAGGGTGCATGATCGAGTCCACATCAGCTAGTCACAGACCTTCAAAACCTGTATATATGCATCAACCTCCACATTCTTCTTACGGTTAATATAAATTGACGTTGTTTTCAATTTGTGCTAGTGACGTACTTCGAGAACAACAAAGCAGGGATAACGGTGTTCGGGTTTATGCTGGATAGAAGTTCTATACACACCATAGTGACGATAGAGATGTCCCTCGTCTTATGGTTACTCGGAAAGACCATCGGTATTTCTTGATAAACATAACATGAAACCAAGAAAATCGACATAACCGCAAAAAATGCAACAACTCGGTCAGTGTCACATCGATCAATCACATCAAGAGAGCCTCCTTTTGTATCCAAACATCTTTTTTTCTGACAAGGGCTGCCTACGATCACGTAGAACACTGCGAAACGCTACACAAGATCATGCATCGCGGGGTTGAAAAGAGGTCGGAAAGAGGGAAGGAAGCCGGAAAACGAGCTTTCAAGTATTTCGGTTATTATGTTTTTCGGTTTGTTTCTTTTTTAACATATGGTTTGTTCCATCATTCCTTTTTCTTGTACTATTTGTTGTGTTTGTTTTAGGGGATAAAACTGGAATGTAAGCGACAAGAACTGATTGCAGTTTGTGATGCTTGTGTGATTGCTCCATTTCGATTGTATAAATGAACCTTTGTTACTGGTTTTTAACTACTTATTTCACTTTAATGATCGTGGGTTTAAGACTTATACTAAGGGGTTGTTTGGGAATCCTTATAAAAACAACTTATTGACTTATTTCGGCGTGACATCGGTAATAAGCACTTTTGAGTGTTTGGATAAACAACTTATACCGGTGCCAAACCGGTAATAAAGAGTTTTTAAATAAGTTAAACTATTCTGACTTATAATAAGTTGATAAGTGCTTTTGTAGAAAAATATAAGTTTATTTAAATAAACAATCCCAAACACCCGATAAATAAATGCTTTTTTAACCATGGGGTCCTGCATTTAGGGTGTTTGAGATTGCTTATTTAAAATGCTTATTGATTTATTCTGGTGTGGTACCGGTAATAAGAAGTTTTTAATTAGTTACTTTCTTCTAACTTATTAATTTATTCCAGTGTGGTACCGGTAATAAGGAGTTTTGAGTGATTGTATGAGAAAAGAAAAAGTTATCTCATTTATTTTATCACTTTATCTGGCATAGTACTCCCATAAGCTAATCAAAACACTTTTTATAAAACTCCAGGTTGCCACCATATAAGTTGATAAACACTTTTATAAAAAATCATAAGTTGTTTTAAATAAGCAATCTCAAATAGCATATTTGATGGAAGGTTCTTAAATGTATGTGCCAATATGAAAAAGGAAGGTTCTTAAATACGATGGAGTGGTTTATAAATTTTTATACAATTCGGAGGAAGCGTTACATGTCAACGTGGAAATTATTACTTCATGATCGAAGATGAAAGGTTTATAAAATATGTAAGAAAGAAATATCTAATGTAACGGTAAGAAAAAATTGATATTGCAGAGTCGTGAATCTCTAAACGTGTTCATAAGTCATGACTCAAGATGTTCTAAGAACAAAAAAAAGTCCGAGTTTTTTAAATGAAAAAAATCGAAAATGTATAAAAAAATGTAATTTTGCAAATGAACCAAATGTTAGTTTTACTTTCTAAACAAATCTTAGATCCTAAAATGTTTGGGATCCAAATATTTAAACTGTAAGTTCTTACAACTTATTAGATCGGTTATATATGATTGGTTGGTAGTGACTTAATGATATAGAAAATGATTTATTCAGTAAAATTTTATACAAAAAACCAAGTTTTTTTTCTTCCAAACACGTCTCTCCCAGTTAAAAAAAACACATTACTCCATCCATGAAAAAACCCGTTTCAAACAAAAACGTTCTTAATTTATACAGACAGATTAATTCACATAAACAATATTACCTATATAAGAGAATATATTACCAACCAAACAATCCTTAATTAGGTTAAACATTAGTGCTGTAATAACCATTTATGTACTTACTAAAGTTTAGTAAGTTATTTTAAGGGGTGTTTGGTTAGAGATATTAAACAGTAATTAATAAGAATGAAAATAAAAGTAAAAGAAACCGTTTGATTTTCAATAATTAAACTGAGGGGTTGTTTGTTTACATCTTAATAGTTTCATTAAGAGACAACCTCTGAATCGTCAAGAGGTGAATCTTATTTGGCAAATTTTTTATTGCCTCTTAATGGTTATGAAACCCTTTGAATGATTTTGTATATTAGATATCTCTTAACCATTAAGAGCCATAATTTCATTATATATAATTACTAAATAATTATATTTTATTTTATATTATATCATGAGAGTCTCTTAATCATTATTATCAAATAGTGTCCGAGTAAATAAAAATTCACAGTAATTTTCATTTTTATGTGTAAACACATGGACCTAAATTGTAGTCTACTCGATAATTAATTTTTAAAATTTCAGTCAAAATATCCATTCGACCAAAAATCACTCAAAGGTTTGGCGCCTCGCACGGACAAATAAGGCAATTAGGCAAAAGGGGAAAATATCTGAACTGCAGTTGTCAACTTCTCACATCGCTGAGATCTGAAAAATTAGGGATTCTGAGACGATTTTCAAATGCACTTTTATCTGAAGTTTTAGGTGATCTGTAGTTTTCCTGTTCTTAATTTTGATAAAATGGAGATTGATTCAGCAGCGATCAGTCGATGCTCTACAGAACACCAGAAGATCTACAAAATTTGGTTCAGTGCCGCGGATTCAGGTTTCATTTCTCGTTCTTTATCTTTCCTGTTTCGTTTTCTTCTTTTTGTTATTGTTGTTTTCATCCTGTTGTTTACTTTTTAATTCCAGATGGCGATGGACGTATCACTGGCGGTGATGCCACGAATTTCTTTGTTATGTCGAATTTATCTCGACAGGATCTCAAACAGGTTTTTGTTTCCACCTTTATTTGTGATTCGATATTTGTAGGTTGATGTGTTCAAAAGAACTGAGGATTTCTGAAATCTAGATGGATTGTACAAACGCCTCTTCTATCGGTGCTTGCTTGGTTTTAAGTTTATGTTAGCTGCCGCGAGACTATGGCATTAGCTTTGTGTTTTAGATTCTTCTTCTCCCTAAGCTAGCTGCTATTACCAACTATGCACTTGTTTTATTTGTGTTGAAGTCGATTTCACGATGTTTGACGAAATTGCCATCGCCAAATTGCTTCCAAACAAATAGAACAAGTTTGGATACTTACGTTGAATGTTACATTTGATGTTTTTTGGTTTTAGTCCATGAGTTTTAATGATGGATTTTCTGTTGGTAACCTCGGATTTCTTTATTTTGTTTTCACTAAATATTGGTTTATACACTGTGGCGCACCTCACTCAACTCAAGCAGATGGCGTTTCAGTAAGGTAGGAAACCTATCGATTTAAGAACTGGAATCGGGGAATATACACAAGTCCTTGATAATATTGCTGCCGGTGGCTAGATACTAGATAGACTTACCATTTTAAAGAAGTGATATAAATATAACATATGGAAACAAAACAAGAGTCATCATACTGGCTTAACTCCTTTGAAAATAAGAGAAAAGTGAATATGCATACAACGGAAGACCCTGACGTCCCCTTTGCAAGATCTGATTCAGCCCTTTTGGAGTTGTAATTGAAGGCTGGAATTGTGTGTGTATGTAAAAAAACATCTAATCTGTCAGCCACTTGTTAGCCTGTTTCTCATGTTTTCAACATGTTTAGAAGGACCAACACCCACATAAATTGTCTAACCTCAGAAGGTATGTCAGTTGAACATAAAAGTGAATGATAAGGGTCCCTGATATGTCCTCCCCTGGACTGCCCATAAGGATCCTTCAGCATGAATATTGGTTTTAGACTAGATAGGAGGAACCCATTTTTTGGTAGATGGAGTGGTGGACCATTGGCACTCTGATAACTAAACTACAGTATCTTGTAATGAAGCCATGAAGGATCTTAGACAGGTGCGACAAGAGACTGAGAGGTGATGGGATGTGTGTTTTGAAACTAATTATGTTATATTGAATAAGTGGATTCAACTTCAACAAAATGCGGTACAAGATATAGTGTTTGGATGGCTTTAGTTGCTTGAGGTTGTAATAATAACTTTTGATACTGTCAAGTGTTTGAGAATTCTGATTATTTAAGTAATAGACCAAATAAGGATGAATTAAGGGTATATAAGTCATTTTACTCTACCCTTTGATAATCAACTTTGTTGCAAGTTGCAACTAGTATGGAATTGATTATTTGACTTCTAAATAATTACATAATCATAAGTAGTAGTTATCCTTATGCTGAAAACCGATTATAAGCACTTTCAAAACGTACATCTGAACACCTCCTGAATAGAGAAAATCTATCTTATGCATTTTGTCCAACAAATTACGAATCAGATCAGCAGTAATGGCCTATCTAATGTTTTTCTAATGGTAACTGCATGCTAGAAGCTTTGGTATAAAAAGTGGGTGGATTTTTAGACTTGTTACAACGGTTTGCCACTTGCAAGAAAGTTTGCACAGGAGTTTGTGCATTATCCTTCTGTTGAGTGATCATGTAAAGCAAGTATGCATTCTGAAGGATAATGGTGGTTGGCTTATTGTTGTCATCGGACTTCCATATTGTTTGCGTAAAAAATGGATATGCAAGATACTCTATGCCCTGCTTTGTTTTTTTCGGTTTATACATATATTTTTTCATAATCCGCTCTTTCCTTTTCTACATTGGAATCCTGATCTGTGTAACTATTTCCCCCTGCCCTTTCATACGACATTTTAAGGTGTGGGCAATTGCAGATTCTAGACGACAAGGTTTTCTTGGCTTTAAAGAGTTTATTACTGCAATGCAGGTAGTTTTTCCTTTTAGTGCTATCCTTTTTATTACATCCGTTATTTCTCTACGCGTGACGATTTTGGGTGTCTATGCTAATTGTAGCTGATCTCTATGGCACAAGCGGGACATGCATTAAGTAGTGACCTCTTAAATTCTGACGGTAAGCAGGGTAGTTGCATCTTTACCCCGTTACAGTCTTAACATGTATATTGATCAAGGGACGGGTTTCATGTGTACATATTTACAATGCAGTTGATTTTGAAAATCTGAAACCACCGGTGATGGACGGACTGGATGTCTTACTAGCTGTATGTATCTCCTCTTACTTTAGCATAAAAGAGACAGCATGGCCACTATGAGCCTAGAAACTAAATATTTTTCTTACCATAACTTGTTTGTCTATATATGCAGAAGAAAAAGCGTCCAACAAGTGATTCTGAATCAAATGGTAAGGATTAACATATCCTAATTGTAATAACAACAAGTGAAAAGAAAATGATGCTTCTCCTTTTTGATGTTCACTTTTAACTTTGATTTAGGTAGTTCTCAGATGCAGACTTCATCACCATCTAGTTGGTTTACTTCGTCAAAATCTGCAAAGAAGGTATGTTTATGTTTTTTTCTCCACAAATTAGAATGAGGTTTCTACATATGGAAATTAGATAAATATGCGCTTACTAAAGAAAGCCCAATCTAAGACCTTGTTACCAGCAATGTCTAGGGAAGCAGAATATTTGAAACATCTATCTTCAAAACATAGAGAGAAAAGATATTAAACCTTTAAAGGGCATTTTATTCTCGGCCTAGATGCAACAATGCCCTCTTAATATAACATCCAGCATGCAAAATGAGGGTTGCATATTTCACCTCTTGAGATCTTCTCTTTCTTGATTCGCCTTCTATTCTGGGCACAGCCTAAAATGGTTAAAGCTATCTTTACATTGTTCTACATAGAGAATTAAGATATTGTGGAGCTTCTTTTGATACAGTCCTTTCTACTATTAATATTATTGGTTATTTTCTTAATGTTATTTCACTTTCCGCTTCCTGAATAATGAATCACCATTAGAGGATGTATATCCTTGGTTACGTTTTAAATATTGTCTTCATCTCATATAATTTATGCTTGCTCAGGTTCCCTTAACTGCCGTTACATCAATCATTGATGGCCTTAAGAAGCTGTACATTCAGAAGCTGAAACCTTTAGAAGTCACATATCAATTTAATGATTTCGTTTCTCCCTTATTGGTGAGTAATCCTAATCCATGTGTTTCAAGTTCTTAATGAAGCATCATGTGAACTATAAGCATTTTCCATATTCCTTTTATGTATGGTTTTCTGATTTAATGCTTCATCAGTTATAGTTGGTTACCATGCAAATGTTTGTTGATGTTCTTTTTCTAGACCAACAGTGATTTTGATGCCAAACCCATGGTGATGCTTTTGGGTCAATATTCAACAGGGAAAACAACATTCATCAAGCATTTGCTTAGAAGTAGTTATCCAGGCAAGTTCCTCACTTCTCCCCTGTCTTTCTCCTCCTCTTATAATATTTCTAACTATTGGACATCTTTCTAACAGGAGCTCATATTGGACCTGAGCCTACTACAGATAGATTTGTTGTTGTTATGGTATGCCTTAGATTCCTCCTATTTTCTTCTATGATACTTCAAATACATTGTGTGCATTTATCTGTGGGTGTGTAGTTATTTTGTTTTAGAAAAAAATTAAGCAATCTATGGAACATGGCACACATCGAATGAAACATGAAAAAACTTGCAAGGTACCTAGACCTTTGTTTTCTTTCTTTATCATGCTTTCTTTTTCTTTCTGTCGACGAAGAAAAAAAGAAGCAAGTTCTTCAAGAAGAACAAGATACAACGAATTTGATCTTCAAGAGAAACACAAGTTGGCCGTGTATTATATTTGGAAAAAGAAAACTTGAGACGCGGTGTATTTTTACATGGAGATGCTGAAACAGGAAACAGGTGGATATATGCATGTTTAATTATGTATAACTACACATATCACTATAAGCAATGAGATGAGTGTGATGTAAAGGGAGTATAAGAAACCTTGGGATATGTTATTTTTCTTAGTATTAGAGGTTTAAAATGTAGCTGATAGAAAATAGGAAATCACACATTTTTGCATGCAATACTGAAATATTTAAGCCTCAAATAATCTTGAACCGACCAATCTACATGAGCAAAGCTGGAGTCTCAAACAAGTTTAGCATATCGAGTTACACATGAACTTTATTGGCTGAGCCTATATTTTATCCTTCAAGCTTGACTTGTCAAATAAATGAGATAATCGAACTGAATGTAAATTAACAAGACAAGCTTGAGTCAGGCTCGGATATCATGACACCCTTTTCTATACATTGTTCTCATACCTTCGGGTTGTGTTTCTGTGTTTCATTCCAGAGTCCCTGCATATATTTGTATGTGTCGGAACTAAATCTGGGAACTCTTCATAGGATGTTTGTGTTTTTGTTCAAAGATGGCTAATTATGTGTGACCATTTGATTTAGCATCATTGACAACCATGTTATGAAATATTGGCTACTTCTAAATGTTTATAAGGAACTCATTGGATCTAAAATTGTGCTTAAATCTATCTCAGTAGTTTTTTATGGCTTAGGGGATGTTTGGTTGGTTTTCCGGTGAGTCCTGTATGGATAAAGCTGACTGTGTGAATTATTCTGTCTATATGAATTGGGAAGGTTTGATATGGGTTATTTTTTCAAGGATTGAAGGAGCGTGTTTTTTCAATTGAGGAGCAAGTTTGTAATACACTTGGGTTTCTGCATAAAGCTCCCCCTAGAAGCTTACTAAATAAGCCACTTTCTATAGTATTAAGCTACTACCAAACAGTCATGTATAGCTGACAGAATAAGCTGTGAGTCTCGTTAAGCTCATTAAGCTGCTAACAAACAAACCCTTAATGTTATACCCTAGGGTAATGTGGTCAAATAGTTAAACATAGTAGTCTGTGGTACAAGTAGGGGAAGCAAGAGGTAGGAAGTCGGTTAGTATTAGTACTGGTACTTCAATATAAAGAAAGGGTGGAAGATGTCGATTAGTTTTGTTCTGTGTATTTAGTGTCGGCGAAAGCCTTGGGAGAGAATCTGGCCTCTCGAAAGCCAGAAACCCTATAAGGTTATAACCATTTGGTTTCTTCTCTTAATCATACAATTAAAATTGCAATTTCATCCTAATTCTTTTAGGGTGCGTTTGGTGCGCAGACAGGACTGGACAGGACAGGACGGGACAGGACAGAACAGCTGTTCAGCGTTTGGTAAGACAGGACAGGACTGGTTAAAATGACCAATTTACCCCCAGTGTTTTTTCACTACGAAATGCATTCTGGTAACACTGGTCCTACGATTATTACAGCCCTAATAAGTACTTCAATTAATCAAGTTTCATAACTAACTAAGTTTTTCATCAATTCCTATTTTATCTAGTTTCATAAGCTATATTTCACACATCATTTGTGCATACAAACCAAATTTCACACATCATCTGTGCATCATTCTAGGCCTTGTAGCAGCAAATTAGTCAAATTACATAACCCTAATCTTTCCCCAATTAAGAAATTGCATAAAACCCTATTTAATCTAGTTATCATAAAACTCATTTCAACATCCTTGAAATAAAGAAAACAGAAGAAACAAAAAAACTCACCGGAACGATGGAGTGAAGCAGCAGCGGTGGAGGAAGCGACTCTGCACCGAAGGAAGAAGCAGCAGCGTCGTTGGAAGTCGCTGCGTATTCCTCCATCAACATCCTTGGAAGTCGCTGCGTATTCGTTGCCCTAACGTTGATGGAAGCGACTCTGCACCGAAGGAAGAAGCAGCAGCGGTGGAGGGGAAGAGATGAAGGAAGCGATGGAGGAGAAGGGGGGCAGCGGTGGAGGGGAAAAGATGAAGGAAGCGATGGAG